CCGGGCCCGGGCCCGTCGCCCTCCCTGTGGGTAGGGGGAGGCTGCCCCTGGCGAGGCCTGGGCCTGCCTGAGGGGGAGGCTGGGGCGGTTTGGGCGCTCGCTGTCTCGCCGGCCGAGGATCGAGCTGGGAGTCAGTAACGATTTTTTTTATTTTTTTTTTCTCCCCCGGTATTGTAGGGCAGGATGGCTTCGGTTGAAAGGGAGGCACTGTCCCAAGATGAACTCCGGAAAAGGCTCTACCAGACTTTTAAGAACCGAGGGGTCCTGGACACACTTAAGGTGTGTTTTATTTTCAGCAGGTGCTTGCTACGCATGATCTGCTGTGCTGCTTAACCTTGAAAGCAGTGAAAGTTCACGCCGAATACACGTGTTCCCGTGCTCCCCAGCTGTATTATTTTTGCCACAGCTTACTTCGTATTCAGCTTTTATTTTTCAGAAACGAGTTCTTCCTAAACAGAAGTGGGGTTTATTGTGGATGTAGTCTCAGAGTCTTTTTCAGGAAGGTTGAAGGCCTGTATTGGGTCTTTGAAAATTCCCATGCTTGAGAAAAAAGTCAAGCAGGGAAGAGAGGAATAAATGATAATACAGGGTTGGAAAGGAACTCTTAGGTCAGAGTCAATTTGTTACTTATTGTAAGTAAACATGCTATGGGAATTCCTCTGAAATATTCCAGATCTGTTTGAAAACTATTTGAGCTGTTTTCTCCTCTGCTCATTAAGGAGAATGTTTTAGAGTACAGTTGTGTTCAGGAGTGAAACTTTGTTCTGATTCGTAGCCTGGGTTTATTTATGGTTGCTCTGGCCTTTTTTTCTTGTGCTAAAAGTATCCTTCAGTTTAAGTAGCTCTTGCTTCTCTTGATGAATTTATAAGCAGCAGTCACCTTTTCTTCAGCATTCTGTTCTACAGCGCTAAGCAAGTCAAGGTGCAGTAGTCTCATTGCTGGTTATCTCAGTAGTCCTCTGCATCGCTTCCAAGTCTTTCCCCTTTTTTTAAAGAAAGTCGATCATGATTGTTGTGAGTTTTCCAGACAAAGTTTAGAAAGGTATTCATTCTTCCGTATTGTTATGGGGAAAGCCTGTGGAAGGCTGCACATACCTCTTTTTGAGGCATGTTACATTTCTAGTGCTGATCATTGATTAATACATCCACATCTTGCTTTGCTTTTTCCAAACGCTAAATCTCTTGTGTTATAGCAGAAATTCATATCAGGCCGGTCAATGGCCAATGGTCAAATGTTGTATTTCATGCAGTTTCTGTTTTGCTAGTCTTTAAACATCATCTCATTGCATTTTTTTATGGCATCTTTTTATACTTCTAGACGCATCTTTATGTCACCAGCAAATGTTTTTAGCTCCTGCTTTTTCTGTCAAATTCATTGTGGTTAAAAAAAAATAATCAAGATCTGTATTTTAAGAATACCGCTGATAAGCTTATGGACAAGAATTCCCTGTTCAGAGCAGCTCGTTTCTCTCTTAGTGATTGCCATACCAAGCTTGCAGTGCTTGAACCATTTCTTGTCTGGTTTGACTTAGCACGCCTCCTGACAGACTATTAGTTATTTAAGTTCATTTTCCTGCTTCTCTTTTCCTTGTCTAGAAGACTGTACATCGTATTAAAGATTTTGTAGCTTTTCTGAGCTGAAGAATTGATAGAGTTGGGTTTTTAATGGATTCCTGCAAGCACTCTTGTATCTTCTAATGAGAATACTCTCAACTTTGTCAGGGTCTTATCTGACTGTCACTGCTGCTAAGAGGCAGGGTGGATCTGGAGCTACAGGTATGTGGAATGGCCAACATGTAACAACCCATGTCTGCCTTCCTTTCCTGTAGTAGGGTCAGGGATTTAGCCCCGTGTTTTCCACCTGCACTTTGTTGTGAGACATATAAGAGGTTGTTGGTCTTGGCTGTTTTTGAGGCAACCTCATCTCTGGCAAAGTTGGTTGAAACTGGACAAGTTCAGAAATTAATAAGCAAAACCATTTTTTCAGTTGTCTTAATTTCCCTCTATTGTCTAACTTCTGTAGAAAGCTGAGCTAAAATACAAGGCTGGTCTGATGATCTAGCTGTGTTAAGTTTTGGTAAGCATTTGGTATTTCATCCCATTTTTGGTAACACAGTATTTCTTTAATCAACTTCGTCACTGTTGCATGCCTGCTGTTGAAAGGTTAAAACACTATTTTTGTTGTGATCTTTTAGTATGCTATAAACAGTTCGTATAATTATGTAATGAAAATTATTATTTCTTCCTTTTACAGGAGGGAGACTTTCTGATTTTAGGTTACTTTTTCTCTGTTGTAACTCATAGAATGCAAATAAATAATTAAAAAATGCAATTTGATTATTATTAGTGCCCGTAGGCTTTTTTGATTACTATCTTTTTGCTTCCCTACAAAATAATTTATATTAAAAACGTTGAATTTCCTGTTTATTTTCCCATCTGCTTTTGCGATTGCATCGGCAGCTTCTTGATATGAGACTCAGAAGAGGACTAGTGAGTTTTCAGAGTACACCTGAAATTAAGGCCACATCAGGCAGGCTTTATTTAAGCCAGAGAGAAGGAGTACAGGAAAGCAGTGATCTAAAAGTGAAGCTGGAGGTACTTGACTGGAGTTTATGTGAGTTCTTGACTGAGAACAATACTTCTTTTCAATCCTACATGTGATACATCTTGATGGCAAGTCAAAGATCACTGTAGCCACCATTAGAGTGTTTTGAAGAAAGGCACGGTGTCCCAAGCACTCTTCTAAATTTTGCCAAAGCTAGTCTGCCCATTTCTGTTATGTAAGTTGTAATATGAAGTGTACAAGTAAAATGAGACTCCCTGTGAATTTTGAAAAATAAAACCTGTCATTGAATAACATTTAAGCTGAGATATAACATCTTTTCTGTATCAGACACAGCTCCGAAACCAGCTAATCCATGAACTAATGCACCCAATTTTAAGTGGAGAACTTCAGCCGCAGGCTGTTGCAAATGATGACAGTTCACTTTTGATCACAGCTTCTAACAGTTTGGTGGCAGATCATCTACAGAGATGTGGCTATGAGTATTCACTTTCTGTTTTCTTCCCAGAAAGTGGATTAGAGAAGAAGAAGGTAAGTTCAGTAACTCACCTCTTCTAAGACTTCTGGGAGCTTTGCTTTCTGGGGGGATGCTATATTCCAACAGAATTGAAAAAATCCCCTTTTGTGATAGTGACATACAAATGCAAATACGGCTTCTGATCATCTCCATAAAAGACTTATAATATTCAAGGCTATTTGCTTGAATACTTCAAACTGGCAACCAGCTAATGATGCTGTTCTGGGAAGACGTAGCACAAGCCTCTTAAACCTCGTACTTCCTTCACCCATAGCCGCAGTCTGGGATGGTCATTTGTGAGGCTGCGTGGCAGACCACGTGGGGAACTGATCCTGATTAAAGCCATTTGGTTCCCTGAAAGTGTTGTTCATGGTCAGTTTAAGCTGTTCTGACTACAAGCTGTAGCTGAAAAGGGCAGTCCTTGCCCCCTCTCTTTGTTTCTCCTCTGTGAGTGTGTGATAGGGTGAAGTTGTTTCTAACTGAAAATTAATTTTTTGGCTTGGTGAGTAGTTAGTTGTCATTTGGATTAATGAGCTCATCTGATTTGTATGATAAATCAAGAAAAGAGGCAAAGAAAGTAGCAAGGGCATTTATCCAGGTTGGGGAGGGAAGAAAACTCTCTTTTTCACAGCTTCAGTTGGTCATGAAACTGCATGCTGGCTGCCATATGTCTTAGGTAATGGAGATAAGTAAGCGTAGTACTAGAACAGGCCTCTGAAAATGGTTTTACAAGGCAATAAACAGATCTTTCTCGAATGGAAAACATTCTACAACTGTAAAATAGTGCCTGTTACTCATCTGAAGTGTTTTTAAAGTAGTTAACCTTTTCTAACTTACCTCTTTTTTTTTTTTTTTTTTTTTCCCCCCCCAAAGCTGTGGACTATGCAAGATCTTCTTCAATTAATGAGGATCAATCCAAAATCCAGTCTTTACAAATCACTGGTAAAGTTACTTTGATTTTGAAAACAAGTTTAAATTACAGTTGTAATGAAATAGACTGGCTAAAACATCTTTTATTTCTTACAGACTTCAGGAACTCGGAAAGAAAATAAAGGTACAAGATGCTTATACATGATGCAGATAAGGATAACTGTCAGCTTCATTTTTATTAAGATGCAAGCAATAGAAATTCAGACTTCTTG